ACACACACACACACACACACACACACACACACACACACACACACACACACAAAAGATATACCTATTAGATGCCTTCTGCGCAACGTGTGCGCGCCTTTCGATGATACACGCAGAATGAGAAGCCCAACCACCCCGTTTCCTGGAAACGAGAAAAACGTTTCTAGGAATTCTTACTTGTCACCCCGTTACCCTCCTCCGCACCAACTCGGAAACGATCCAAGGAATGATGTGACGGAATCTCGGCGACAAATGAGCTAGGATTCAATCTCATCCCGAAAAATATTCATGTTTTTACCCTGCGTAGCGAATGTATGAATTACATTCGTAATCTGGCAAAATTCTCTCACACCATTAAAACTATATTTTCTGTATATTATTGCAGTGAAATCATAGATTAAAGATAAAATTTTTCTTAATTATTTTCACGGATAAAATAATTTTTTTAATTCTCAGTCGTTAATATATAATCCAATTAGTCGAATATAATTAAAAATATTTATTTATGGAAAAGCATGATGTAGCAATAACATAATTAACAAGTTTAATTGAAAATAATCTTATTAAATCAAATAATAATAATGAAACATGCCATGTGCTCTTGTTTGAATAAAGTGTTATTTCTAAAACTTTTAAAATTAATCTCGCTCTGAAGAGTGAAATTTCACTCTTCTCTTTCAAGACTGATCAATTTTCACTTTTCAAAGTAAGATTCCATTCCAAAGAATTTAAAATTATTTGTTTTATCAATATTGTTATTTTTTAATTAAGATTATTATTTTCAATTAGACACTGCCGTTATTGTTAATATATCTTTTTTTTGTATGTAGATATGTTCATATAAAAATCAAATTTTGAGGTAATCGTTACTTTTTTATGTTGACTTGATCTTTAATTCTTAAGATTCGCGCAAGGTACATTTTGTTTCTATAAATTTATTATTGTATTTCGGTATACTTTTATGATTACATTTCAGTATATTTCAGAAAATAACGTTTCAAGAACGAGACTAAATCGTTTTCACATTTCATTCGCATTTTTCACATAGTAATTGTACAATTTAACTTTTCATTCGTTTTCTTGCAAATTCTCGACTATACACTCAGAGAAAGATTTCTTCGATTCAAAGAAATGTTTCTTTGCTATATGGTTAAAGAAGAAAGGTATTTTTACTTAAAACATTTTTTGAAATCCAATAAATTCTTTAATTAAAAAAAATTATGTTCAAATAAAAAAAAAGAACGTTCAAATCAAAGAAATATTTTTCTTTAATCGTACAGCCAAAAAAACATTTCTTTGAATCGAAGAAACTTTTCTCTGGGTGTAAGTTGAACGCGCAGAGACGCATAGATATACATGGGATACCGGTTTACCCGGATTACTATAGAACGGTGAGGAAAACGGTATTATTTTCGATGCAAAATATTTGAAAAAGACCTTTCCTTCGCTTCCGGGCTAGGTTGCCACGCGAGAGAATAATTCTCGTAGCCGATATCGGTATCGACGCGACTTGAATACTAAGGAGGCGTGGTTTCGGTCGACGGGAACCTGTTCATTCTCTGCCACTGCCGCCGTCGCCGTTCTCTATGATTCTCTGCTTCTCTGCACCTTCACGCCAGTTCGCGCGTCGCAGTGTGACGTCGTCAGAGCGAGCGGCTGCTCTCGGCCTCTCGCCTCTCGCCTCTCCCCGCGCCAGTCTCTCCTCCCGTTTAGCAGTAAGCAGACGCCCGTACCTCCCGTCCCGCCGTCCCCCCCGACTCCCCCGACCGTCTGACGTCCCCGTTGACCGGGCGGGCGCGCTCTAGCGTCAGAGTTGTGGGACAATGACGCGCGCCATTTTGTCCAGTGTCCGTCGAACGCGTCGCGCGTCGGGGTGTCGTCGTCGCGGGGTTGTAGACTGCGTGAGTGGAATAAATCGGAGCGTAGCGGCGCGAATAACACACGCGCGCGCTATTGCGCGCGTGCGAGCGAGCGAGCGAGCGCGCTCGGACTCTCTCTCTCGAGAGACCTGTGTAATATGTATTGCGTATCTGTGACGGCGACGACGACGCCGAAGACTTCTCGCACGGCGAGGAAAAACCGAGTCTCGTATCGCGCTCGCGGTGAGCCGCTACAACGGTGGTCGTAGCATCGTGACGAAAAAAAAAAAAAAAAAAGGAAAAAGTAAGAGACAGAGGTGCGACAGCCGGAAGTGTGAATGGCGACGACGATATCTGTGACGGTTCCGTCGCGAATTGCGGCAGCAAGCGTTCCCGTTGCCGCGACGACGGAGAGCGTCGTTCAGGTAAGCGCCGAGAGGGTAGGAAGCCGCGCCGCTCTGATCGATAAAACACGCGCGCGTCTCTCTTCCCGTTTCCTCTGCCGCGTAGGAGGAACGAGCGCGCGCTCATCCCCCATCTCCCATCTCTTGTCACCCGTCAGGACTGCGTGGTGCTGCGAGGTGCTGCGAGGAGAGCTTTCGTATCGTCCGTATGGCGAATGACGGCGGAGGACGGACTCGCTCGGTCGCTCGCGCTTGTGCAAATCGAGAAAAGTGAAAGCTCACCTCGCGGCTGCGATCAAGGCGATCGCCGTGAAGGACCGAACGTTTTCTGCTTGCACTGTTAAAGTTACACCTGATGTGAAATTATATTTCAATTTCAATTACTTTTTAATCGTATGTACAGGTACCTCCACTATTTATGTCGTTAAATCCGATAAGATAATGGGATTAAACACCCGTTAAACAATTTAGCTCGACAAAATGTATTCAATTTGACTCACGAGTTTGTTATTTACTAAGTACATTAAGTGCAAGTTAGTTTGTTATTTACTAATGATAAGTGCATACGTTAACATGGACGATGTTTACTTTGAAACTCTACAGAAATGGATTGATTTGTACTATTAGACACAAATAGGAGTTAGAAATAATAACAAAATGTTATTCAAGGGGCTAGATTATCATTGCTTCTTTGATAGCTAAGTACTTTTCGCGTTTGCCACATCCGAGACGTTTATTCTTCCGGGATGACAAGGAGGAGGATGGAGATGCGGATAAGGAAATCTCGAACTGGACCGCGCGTGTCGATATTAACAAATTTTATGAATTTTATCACATCTTTATTAGTCTCACGGCTTTTTCGCACCGGTTTCTGACGATTTTCAGATTGTGTTTCCAAAAACTTAGAAAAATTTATCTTAATTTATACGAAATCTCTGTTGTAA